TGTGAGGATGCTACGGGCCAAGTCTAGGGTAGCCGACAATGGAATAAACCTACAACTGACAGAGAGGCCTCAGATATCCCCTTGAAGTTTCCACACACCGATAGCAAAAAAGTCTATTATTAAATTGGATGTAACTCGAGTAATTTCCTTTTACGCTTATTATTATGTCTAGCGTACCATCACATGTGTGATAGACAGTAGGTTCCGGCATACGATACTTTCAAATCCTTGTCACAACAGGGACATCCTAGACAAAGAGACCAATCGCAATCGTTTGAGTAGGATCAGTAGCGCAGTGTACCCCGACAGCCCTTGCGAGATTACGAATACATTCATTGCTTCATTTTAAATCCCTTTCCTCCCTCATCTACGACAGGAGGAAGGAGGAGGCCATATGGAAAGAAGTCACAATCATCAAGAGGCAGACCAGCGATATGCCACCAACAGGCAGAAAAAGGACAACAGTTTCATCGGTTGCTGTTACAGCAGAGTCTACTAAGCGTGTCCGCTTGCCCAACTACGCCGGAGATTCTTTCAGCACATCCAGATCTCAACCCGGAAGGCTCGGATCGTCCGCGCGCCACGCTCTGGACGGCAGAGGTACCACGGCTCCCAGACGTGACAAGGGTTCGCCAGTGTTTTCGGACACGGGCTTATTCGTTGCCGATGACCTTGACGCGTCAGGGGCTAAGTCAAGCCAGCCTGTCTCGCGGAAGACACTTCGCTCTGGACAGATTCCTGACGCCGATGTGAACAGCAGTCTACCGTCCAGCTTCCTTCCGGATTCCACCTCCCACGCCATTCCAAGTACAGACACTGCTGACTTGTTGACGCAACATGCTTTGCCGTCGCCCGAGCTGCCGGATGAGCAGGATCTCACAGATCTGCCCGAGACCCTCACTAAATACGAGAAGAAGCTCAAGAAGTTTGTCGACCAGTGGCACGCATCCCTTGTCAAGAAGGGCATACCGGAGCATCTAGCCTACGAGCTTGCTAAGCGCTGTGTTCAAACCAGTGATAAAGAAGGCGACTCAGAGACAGACAGCCATAATGCGCGTCGCGTAGAGAAGCCACTCTTTCCTCCAGGTACGCTCTTGAAAGGCACCCAGCTCTTCCAGGCATCCACGCAAGTCTTGCCGCATGTGCTAAATAATCATGGAGGCGACAACGAAGACAGCGACATCCCCTCACGGCCATCTGCCAACCGTATTCTCACACAGGTCTCTCAGACCGATGACGAACCCGTCGTGATACGGCTCGGCGTAGGTGCGCGAGCACCGAAGCCGGGACTGGGCGGAGGTGACAAGCCAATTACTCTGGTAGAGGCCTTGAAAGCAAAGAACAGACTCAGGAACCATTCCGAGGAGGGACATGGCGCTTTCGACACCCTAGCTGTTGCTCGCAGGCTGCAGGAAAGGGACTTTGAAGGCAGGCTGTCTTCTCAAGAGATCTGTGTCATAGGTATCGCCGTCCTACATGAGGTATTCGGCGACCGAGGCCAGAAACGGCTCGCTGATGCACTGACACATCTTTATGGCCGCCACCCGCGACGTCACCTCGCCGACCTCGACCGGAACGCGGGCAGGGTGGCAGACGAGATCCGCGAGGGTGGGCAGGCGACCCTATCCAGCTTCACCCTACGTTGGGCTCAGGCCGTTCAGCACGACAGCCCCAACATGTTGACAATCGACGATATTCGACTGATCGACATGAAGGTGTCGCTCGTCCGTGAATGGGATCGCTGGTCGAACCCGGCCGCGACAGGATCCAATAAAGATATTGAAGACTTCCTCGTCAAGAACGGAATAGACACCAACGCGGGGCTGACTCTTTCAACGAGAATCGCCAAATATCTCAGCAGGAAGCTCTGTCTTCCCGAAGGCACCTTGGCCAAGAAGATTTATGCCTGGCGACCGCTAGCAGTGATGGTAGACGTCTTTGGTCCAGGAATCTACGTCTTTGTCTCCAGGAGCCTCTTTACGTGCTATAATAAGATTCGTACCACCGATGGCATTAAAAAAGAGGATAAGTTCCGTGCCATGGCACTTGCTGTTGCAGACGAGATTCCTGACCTTTTAGAAATCTGCCAGGCATCGTATGCGCATGTCGTTCAGCCCGTCCTGGAGTCCCTTGTTGCTGGTAACAACATGATGCAAGGTCTTTCCAGGGACTTGAGAGTTCCTGGGGTTCAGATGGCTACAGACGGCGATCAACACAGCTTGCGAAAAACGTCCATTCCAGAACTACTCGGTATTTGTATATCTCCACGAGGTTTTGTAGAGGAGTTGGACAGTGTGACAGGAGGTGATGCTGATGCTCGGACGGAAATGGTCCGCCACCGTTCTAATCTCCATGAGCATCACCATGAAGATGGCAAAGATAGTGATGGCGATAACGATGATGATGATGAAAGTGGTGAAGAAGATGATGAGAATTGTGATTGACACGAATCGAGAGTTCGAGAAGAGATTCTGATGTTTGACAGGAGTGGGACTCGATCACATATGTGATAGGGACTGGGGTCTGCATGGCCTGGACGTTTAGATGAATTCCATAATTTGAAAGTGGGACCTCGATCACATATGTGATAGTGGAGACCCAATACTCACCTGTAATAGACAAA